CTCTGAAGCTACACAGAATTATCTGCGGAACATGCAACAGCACTGGAGCCCAGCCCCACCCCTGGAGAATCCGATGTACTCGGTCTGGGTGGGGCCTGGTGGGCATCACGGTTTGAAAGCTCAGGAGACTCCAGCGTGCAAACAGGGCCAGAACACAGTGCGGCAGCAAGGGCGCGATGCACAGCAGCGGAAAAGGTCTTGGCCCTGGGGACAAAGGCCCCTGAGGAGCAGGGGGACACAGGCGCAGTATGGAGGGCACAGCTTGAGGGCCAGAGTCTTGAGGCCCTGGATGTCCAGCCAGGCCTCCCCACTGCCTCCAGCTGAGGTTGGAGGTGAAGGGGTCTCCCCGAGAGCAGGCTTCGAGCCACCACAATGATGTCCCCAGGAACCTGCTCTGCCCTGGGCTTCCCATCCTCCGGGAAGCAGCCACAGGGCCCTTGGCCTTGTCCCCGAGAGGAGGCTGGGATGCCCTGCTCCGGGGTCACCGTTCACGTCACCAAGGCGGTGCTCCTCCCACACAGCAGAGGTGCTGGGGGGGGCATGGCCTTCGGGGACACTGTTTTCAGTGTGGCCTCTGTAAACGACAGCTCCCAGAGCTGAGAAAGTGGCCCTATTTCACAGAGGGGTAAGACTGGGTCAGGACTGCCTGGGAGCATCTCGGGGGCAGGCCAGGGCCTGTTCTCCCTGCTGCACCCCCAGCCTGGCTGGCACACAGAGGCCTCTGGTCAGTGCTGATGTGGGGGTGGGAGGCATGCCACCCCGAGGACATGACCTCTCTAATAGGGACTGGGTGCCGGGGCCCCAGCAGGGAGGAGGGGAGGTTCCCGGACTTGGGGATGCTGGTTGTCTGTGCTGCAAGGCCTCTGGCCTGGCGGGATCCTGCCTGACTCTTGGCCCCATAAATCACCCTGTGCCTCTTGGAGAAACTCATTACAAACATCTGATTGTCCCTGATTAGATGAGACAATGAACTTCTGCCCTGTGCCTCTCATCCCTCTTTGCGAGCTCCAATTAAAATTCCAGACCAGAGCCAGGGGATTTAAACTGGATTACTGGATGGGGTCCAGGGAGAGAGGAACAATGGAGTGGGGGGTGCAGCCCCTACACCCCTCCCTCCACATGCACTCAGGCTGCAAGCAAATGTGGGAAAGGAGACAAGGGCCAGAACTTGATTATAAGCAAATTTAAAACATAATTAAGACCAAAGCTCCTCCTGAACAATTAGGGCCAAGATGGGGGAAGGACAGTCCTCCCCTTTGTCTGGGGGCACGCCCCGGGGCAGCATCCTGCGGGCTTGCCGGGTGGGGAGGCGCTGCAGGGGGAGGCCACTGGCCAGGAGGTGCTGGAAGGAAAGGCCGTGGGCTCCGTGTGCACCTCGAGAGCAAGGTGGGGGTCAAGGGCCTGGCTGGCAGTCAGAGTGACCTGGGGTCAAACCCTGCCTCTGCCACATCATGGCCTGGTGCACGGCACGTCTGAGCGTCTGAGCCCCCTTGTGAAGCGGGCCTCCCGCCTAGGGTGCTGCGAGACTGGCACGGACAGGCTCAGAGCACGGCGAGCACCCGACCAGACCGCCTTTTCCATCATTCTTCCATTGGAAGTTGATGTCTAGAGCGTGTGGAGCGCCAGCCGTGGGCTAGGCTGCAGGTGCAGTGGGCAGGGCCCAGTGGGCGAGGTGCCAGGAGAGAGGGGCAGGGGGCTGGGCCCTGGGCGCCATTATGGAGGGCAGGTCGGGCATTTGTGACCGCCACCACTCAGCAACCCCCACTCGGTGACCGGGCCCACACAGGGTGGCTAGCACATCTAAAGGCCTGTAGGGTCCCCTTCCCAAACCGACCAGCTGGTTTCGACACAAATTCAGGGCTGGCAGCCTGCAGTTTGTAAACGTATGGAGGGCACAGCTTGAGGGCCAGAGTCTTGAGGCCCTGGATGTCCAGCCAGGCCTCCCCACTGCCTCCAGCTGAGGTTGGAGGTGAAGGGGTCTCCCCGAGAGCAGGCTTCGAGCCACCACAATGATGTCCCCAGGAACCTGCTCTGCCCTGGGCTTCCCATCCTCCGGGAAGCAGCCACAGGGCCCTTGGCCTTGTCCCCGAGAGGAGGCTGGGATGCCCTGCTCCGGGGTCACCGTTCACGTCACCAAGGCGGTGCTCCTCCCACACAGCAGAGGTGCTGGGGGGGGCATGGCCTTCGGGGACACTGTTTTCAGTGTGGCCTCTGTAAACGACAGCTCCCAGAGCTGAGAAAGTGGCCCTATTTCACAGAGGGGTAAGACTGGGTCAGGACTGCCTGGGAGCATCTCGGGGGCAGGCCAGGGCCTGTTCTCCCTGCTGCACCCCCAGCCTGGCTGGCACACAGAGGCCTCTGGTCAGTGCTGATGTGGGGGTGGGAGGCATGCCACCCCGAGGACATGACCTCTCTAATAGGGACTGGGTGCCGGGGCCCCAGCAGGGAGGAGGGGAGGTTCCCGGACTTGGGGATGCTGGTTGTCTGTGCTGCAAGGCCTCTGGCCTGGCGGGATCCTGCCTGACTCTTGGCCCCATAAATCACCCTGTGCCTCTTGGAGAAACTCATTACAAACATCTGATTGTCCCTGATTAGATGAGACAATGAACTTCTGCCCTGTGCCTCTCATCCCTCTTTGCGAGCTCCAATTAAAATTCCAGACCAGAGCCAGGGGATTTAAACTGGATTACTGGATGGGGTCCAGGGAGAGAGGAACAATGGAGTGGGGGGTGCAGCCCCTACACCCCTCCCTCCACATGCACTCAGGCTGCAAGCAAATGTGGGAAAGGAGACAAGGGCCAGAACTTGATTATAAGCAAATTTAAAACATAATTAAGACCAAAGCTCCTCCTGAACAATTAGGGCCAAGATGGGGGAAGGACAGTCCTCCCCTTTGTCTGGGGGCACGCCCCGGGGCAGCATCCTGCGGGCTTGCCGGGTGGGGAGGCGCTGCAGGGGGAGGCCACTGGCCAGGAGGTGCTGGAAGGAAAGGCCGTGGGCTCCGTGTGCACCTCGAGAGCAAGGTGGGGGTCAAGGGCCTGGCTGGCAGTCAGAGTGACCTGGGGTCAAACCCTGCCTCTGCCACATCATGGCCTGGTGCACGGCACGTCTGAGCGTCTGAGCCCCCTTGTGAAGCGGGCCTCCCGCCTAGGGTGCTGCGAGACTGGCACGGACAGGCTCAGAGCACGGCGAGCACCCGACCAGACCGCCTTTTCCATCATTCTTCCATTGGAAGTTGATGTCTAGAGCGTGTGGAGCGCCAGCCGTGGGCTAGGCTGCAGGTGCAGTGGGCAGGGCCCAGTGGGCGAGGTGCCAGGAGAGAGGGGCAGGGGGCTGGGCCCTGGGCGCCATTATGGAGGGCAGGTCGGGCATTTGTCACCGCCACCACTCAGCAACCCCCACTCGGTGACCGGGCCCACACAGGGTGGCTAGCACATCTAAAGGCCTGTAGGGTCCCCTTCCCAAACCGACCAGCTGGTTTCGACACAAATTCAGGGCTGGCAGCCTGCAGTTTGTAAACGGGGCAAGGCAGTCATGGGCAGATGAGGGGTCTGCAATGAGGGGAGAGTGACAGAGACAGAAAGAGACGGCAGGAGAGCACCTGGGTCAGCCCAGCCGTGGGAGAGGCAGGGGCGGGCCTCGCGTGCTGGCTGGTAAGGCAAGAGAATGGCCCTACAACCAGGGGCCCTGCTAGACGCCACGGGGACTGCCACCCCAGCTGGAGGCCTGGCTCTGCCTCTTCCCCACGAGCGTTCATTTCGCCGGCTGCCTCCCCGGTGACTGGGAGACCCTCCAGTCAGGCTGGGCCAGGCCCCGCCCCGGTCCTCTGTCCACATGGGTGGCAGTCCTCAGGGTCCGCCTCCTCCAGCCCCAGATGCCAGCCTCCCCGGCCCATGACCCCAGGGGCACAGCAGGGCCCTGCCCCTAGAGAAAGGGTCCGCGTCCTCTCCTGGGGCCTGGCCGTGCCAGGGACTGAGGCTCAGTGGCTACCCCTGCCCTGAGCTGGGCCTGGCTTGTGTGGACTTGCTCATCATTTTTTATAAAATAGTCTCATTGAGATATAATTCATGTACCATAAAATTTGCCCCCTTAAAGTGTACAACCCAGTGGTTTTGTAGCATATTAAGAGTGTGCAACCATCACCCCCAGCCAATTTTAGAATATCTTCATCCGAACAGGGGCCTCGAGTCCGTCAGTAGTCATCCCACCCCAGTGTTCTCCCCTTCTCCACTCTGGGTGGCTCGCGGAAATGGGGTCACACGACAGGTGGCGCTCTGTAGCGGGCCTTTCCTCTCAGCACAGGGCTTTCCAGTACCCATGCGGCCGCAGGTCCAGTCCCTTCCTGTAGACTGGACCTTCCTTTTGACACAGGCTGGAGTGGCAGTGTGCCTCTGGTCCAGGGGCAGCTTGGACTCCCCCCCTCATTTACTGAACAACCCCCGGGCCACCTTCCAGCTTCAGAAGCCCCTCCCGCCCTGCTCTCCCGAGGGTGGGTCAAGGGCCGGGGTCTGCAGGCTTCATGCACCTGCGTGGGGTAGCCCAGCAGCGGAGCATCGTGAAGCCTGGGAACTGATGGGCAGCCTCTCTGAGAACAGGGGAGACCGAGGCCCAGAGAGAGCAGAGAAACACTCAGCCCAGCACCCCGTGGCCACAGCCACCTCCATGGGGCTCCTCCAGGTGCCCTCACCAGCAGGGCCTGAGGCCCACCCCCCAGCCATAAGCAGGTGGCACCCTGGCTGGCCGCTCCCCCAGGGCACGCCCACAGCCAGAGCCACCCAACAGGAGGCCCTGCCTGGCCCACCTTTGTGCCCACACAGGCCCCCTCAGGCTGCTACACAAGCCATCCTGCTCCTGCTCAGCTCCCACAGTCCTCGCGGGCACAGCCCTGCCAGTGGTGGCCCAGACGGACCTCAGAGGGCAGGTTGGGAGTCCCCCCCCACCCCCCCCCCCGTGCAGGGCCACTCCACCGGGCCCGCCTTCAGCCTGACAACAGCACCTACCTTCAGGGCCTGCACCTTCCTGTCCAGCAGGCTCTCAATGTCCCCTGCCACCTTCTCCACCAGCTTCTGGGGCTCGTTCTCCTGCACTTCGAACAGATTCCGGTTGTCCTTGTAGATCTGGGAAGAGGTGGACAGCAGGGTGAGTGTGGGGTTCCCATGCCACAGCCTGTATGTCCTCTCTGTGGGGCGGACAGTCCTCACCCCGCCCCTGGCTTTGGCCATGGGGACAGCGGTGGGGCAGCAGGCGGGGCCCCAGCTGGGCTCCCAGCTCGGGCTGGCTGTGGCTGCTGGCGCGGGTTGTCACTGCTTCCCCGGGACGCAGGGTTCCTCCTCTAGGGGCCACGAGCAGCACCCGACCAGCTCAGAAGGGAAGGGCGGGCGCACAGGAGGCAGGGCGTCAGGGGGATGGAGCCGACGAGCCCACACTGCCGGCACGAAGACACACTCACACAAAGTACACACACCTACACACAGCCACCCAGCACACGGCTCGGGCATCTGTGCCCCCTTCTGCTGGCACTGCCCCAGGGCATTTACAGAAACCAGTGGGAGCTCTGGGCACCCTGGGGCTCCTCTGCCATTCAGGACACAGAAGATGGGGGCAGACACCAGAGAAAAAGAGGAACGTGCGGGAACGCACCTGCCCCCTCCTCCCTGGGGGGCCGGTGCACATGCGCACGTGGGGTTGTAAATCCGACAGTCGGCTTTTGTGTGTGAGCGTGTGATGGCTCAGCACACGTCCATCTGTGCGCGTGCCTGCAGGCTTGGGGGTGGGATTAGGGCCTTACTTGAAGCCTGGGGCTTGCATGTGAGCCACACAGGCAGGTCTTTGAGAGCCTCTCTGTGGCTGGGGTCTTGGGGGTGCCCATGTGTGTAAGCGTGCCATGTATGTGAACCGCACGCCCCTGGCATTTGTCTCTGAGCCGATGGGGCCAGTGTGTCCATCCAGGTGACCCCGGAAGCGGCTCCTGCACCAGGTCACAGCCGAGTGATGCCACAGGGCTGTGCAGAGCAGAGGGTTGTGGAGACAGAGGAGGTGAGGAGGAGACAGGGGCAGGAGAGGACGCTGATGAGCAGACAGGCAGGAGAGATAAGGTCGGCTGTGGCTGCAGCCTGGGCAGATGAGGCCTGGCATCTGATGGGGCAGGAGGCCCAGGCCTCCGGAGTCCCCCCAGCCATCCCCCCCAGCCTGGCAGCCCAAGGGTTAAGGCACCATAGGTAGCCACTCAGCAATCCCCTCTGCACCCTCCCATCTCTCCCAGCTTCTCCTTTCTTTTTGTCCTTCTCTTAGAACAAAATAATTTGTGGTGAAGTCGCTCCTTCCCACAGAGCGGCGGCGATTAGAGGGCGAGTTGCGAGGCCGGAACGCAGGGCTGGGGAGGCTGGAGTTCCCCAGTGGGCAGCAGGCTGCCATTCCTGGGCTCCCTGGGCCCTGCCTCACAACAGAGGTCCCCGGGGGAGGGAGACAGAGGTCAAGGAGGGTCCGAGCCTGGGGGGAATCACTGGGAAATGCAGGAAGCCTGGCGCCCAGGGCCCACTGCCAGGGGAAACAAGAGAGGACAGGTCAAGGCCACACGACTATGGGTGGCAAAGCCAGAGCCCCGCCCTCCCTGACCCCTCATCTGCAGGTTTGGGGACATTAGCCACACACCCTCTCTGGACCATGGGCCACACCCGTGTGTGTTGCGGTCCCGCGTCCACACTACAGCCTTTGCCAGCGCACCCGGGCCCACTGACACCGGTAGGGGCGCAGCTGCCTGGCTTCTGGGGTGGGATGAAGTTCCTCGCCTGACTCCACATGAAGGTCATTCCCAGGTGCCCATCAGGGTGTCCTCAGCAGAGCATCTCAGACTGAGGCTGGACCCTTGGGCAGCTCTCCTCGGGGGCCCAGGGGTACCCCCAACCAGGTCCAGGGAGCCCCTTGCAGCCTGGCATGGTGACTGGGCCAGGGCTCGGGGTGGAGGAGTGGATCTCACCCCAGGGCCCCGAATGCTGGCCCAAGGGCTTGCCAAAGTCACCTCATCCCTAAACCTCAGCACTGCTTTGTTAGACAAGAGAACGGTGGCCCCGGACTCTGGGGCAGTGAGGGCTGCAAACAACCCACACCACTGTGGCTGCTGCCCGTGTTTCGGATCACCAGCATTCTGCAGGAGTCCCTGCCCCGGCCTGCTAGATCTGCAACCTTACGACCCGAAGCCACAGACTCCAGCCCTCTTGGGGTCTGCCCGCCTCCAGCCCACCCCTCCTCCCAGGCCTCCTGGCAGTCCCTCCCCAGCCAGCCGGTCCCTGTCTCCGGGACCTCAGTGTGGGGCCCGGCAGTGACCACAGGAGAGCAGACGCGGGGACACCACTGAGAGGGCACGGCTGTGGCCAGCTCCCTCCAACTCTCCCTAAGCACCGACTTGTGTGCAGTGGCCCCCAGCAAGTGCGCCCACCAGTTCCACGTTCAAGAGCAGAGCTGGGGCCAGCTGAACCTCGTCTCCCTCCTCTGCTTCCGCCTGCAGCCGTGCCACCCCTTGGAGCCTGGGCTGCATCCACCATGCTTCCCTCCTGTCTCATGTCCACCCCACGACCCTTTACTGATGCCAGCATCAGAGGCCTACAGCCCACCGGCCTGGCAGAAGCCTGCAGGCCTCTGGGTCCCCAGCCCGTCAGAGTCCCACTGTCACCCCTTTTGCCCTTCCCTGCCTATCTAAATCCTCTCCAAAGGGAGGGTGGGGACATGGGCTGGAAGGCGTTTTGAAGGATGGGGGCAGGATTTCAGGACCGTAGGGGCTGGCCAGGCCACCAGCCAAGCCTTGTCCCCGAGTCCCCAATGAGCCCCTTGAATGCAGCAGCCCTCAGCCTTCTGTCCCAGGTGCCTCACCCCTCCGCATTGCCCAGACCAGCTGCCCCACCGCCTGGGGTGGGCCCTGAGCCCCAGGGAGATCAGCATGGCATAGCCCTGCAGATGGCCCCAGCCTAGAAGATAGGTCACCTCCACTGATGTGGCCCGGGAGGTGCTTACCACCTGCAGGCCCAACGGGAAGCCCAGCAGAGCCCAGGATGGGCTTCCCTGGGGCCCCAGCCTCCAGCTCTGGCCCTCCAAGACAGGCCAGGGCACACTCGGTGCAGGGCCTCCACAGCCACAGTGGACTGCACGCCCGCTAGTGTCCTTGGCCCAGCAAGCTAATTGGAAAAACCCCATGGCTCCCAGCGTGGCACGCCTGCATGGCAGGGACGGAGAAGCAGGCGGCTGGCAGCCCACAGGTTGTTGCAGCTCCGGGCCAGCTGTGACGGGGCAAGAGGCAGGCTTCACCCCCAAGGAGATGGCGCATGGTGGTGGGGCAGAGACAGGCTGCCGAGCCAGGTGGGCATGTGGGGGGCATGGGACACTGGCAGGGCACCTGGGGAGCAGGGAGGGCAGGGGTGGTGGGGCACCTCTCATTCTGCACCATGTACCTCTGGCCTCTGCTCCCCAGGGAATCCTCTGCCCCTCCCGTTATCAAGCCCTGCGCCTCCATTCCCCTTGTCTCCTAGCGCCCCCGCCCCCAGCCCTCTCTGGCTCCAGCGGCTCTGGGGCTGAGCACTCATCCGGCCGGCCTCTTGGCTCAGGGATTTCCTGGGTTGGCAGGGACCAAGGCCTCCTCGGGGACCCCGGCCCCTCAGCCCAGCCTTCTGCTCCCCTGGGAGCACAGGAAGAAGAGGTAAGCCCAGAGGTCACCTGGAGGACCGGTGACCTTGGACAGGAAGGCCCAAGGCCAGACAGAGCCAGCCTCGTCCCCACAGCTCCCCAGTGTCCTGACCGAGAAAGGGTCAAGCTCCGAGGTCATGGCCCACAGGCACCCACCACAGGAGACAAAAGGCCCAGGGCCAATGACCCCCGCGTGTCCCCCAAATGCAGGGGCATTTTGCAAAGTCCCGGAGAGCCAGCAGCAGAGGGGCCTGGGCCTGGGCCAGCACCCAACCTGCCCAGGGAGAGGAGGGTGGGGGGAAAGGAGAGGAAAAGGAGGACGAGGAGGGGCAGTGGGGCAGCAGTGGGGTGACAGGCCCCGGGTATAGCCCCCTGGGGCTGGAGCTTCTCACACGGGACCTCACCGATCTGAACAACCCCTGAGGGGCAGCCTTTCTGACAGCACACAGTCAGCAGATGCCCCACTGAGGACACGCCAGAGCCCAGAGTCCAGCCGCGTCTGTTTGGCCATGTCCCAGCTGCATTCGGTGTGTTGACTCCACACGTGAAGGGGAGGCGCCCCGTAAGGCATGGGGCACGCAGGATGGGCCGGACCAAGGTGGTGCCGGAGGCCTGAGGCCTGGGGGGTGGAGGGGAGGACGGGCAGAAGCCCCCAGACCGACTACCACTCCCCCTGGGAGCAGAGCCGGGCGCATGCGAGAGGCTCCCCTCTGCAGCGAAGGTGAACAGGCCCTCATCTCTGGAAAATTAGAGCAGAAAGGAAATGGGATGACAAGGATTTGACACAGTCTGGGCCCTGCCGCCGGCTGCTCCTCAGGGCCCAGGTCTGGCTGGGGGCTCGGCAGGCGCTCCAGCATCCCACTGCCCCGCCCCTGCCAGGGCAGAGAGGATGCTGAGGGGGCCACGCCCCTCGGCAAGGCCCCCGAGATTTGCTGTTCTCCAGCCCCCGCCTCCAGTCACATCTTTGTGTCTGGTCCCTGCTCTCAAAAGAAGCCGCCCGTGAGGGTCTTAACTGCCCTCCTGCCAACAGGCCCTAGGGGACAGCATCCCTGGCCAAGGGACAGTGGGCCGGGCCTCCTGAGGTGGGCTGCTGGCACATGCTGCAGAGGCCAAAGGGCCTGGGGTGGGGGACAAGGCCAGCTGCTGGAATGGGGTACACGTCAGCCAGGGACAGGGGAGCCCTGGGTGGGAGGGAGGGGGCTCATGGTGCTGGGCCAGGAGGGAGGAGGTGGCTGGGGGATGGCAGTGATCTGCTCAGCAGGGCAAAGCTGGTCCTGGACTCCTGCCCCACCCCTGCCAGGCTGCTGCCCCGTCTCCTGCCTCTGTGGGGAAAATCGAGGGTACTGAGAACTGCTCATCACCTTGAATGGATGGGGCAGCCGGGTGCCCACCGTCCCCTCCCACAAGAGCACTCAGGACACGTCCCAGACAGGCTGCACCTCCC